TAGCCCTGAATAAACCAGATCCCTTCAACTTTTTCCAGAGATCTTGACAAGGCAAGGGTAAAATGTCAATATGGTACAGTAGGTGTGACAACTCAACAGAAACTCTGCCTGTTTTTAATGTTCATTGCTGCATGTAAAAAGGAGGCAGGGCTTCGGTCACGCAGCTGGGCCCTCCATATTGACTTTTTTAAACCACCTCTACAGTGCCAGTATTTTCAGTGGTGTGTAGATTAAATATACCACACCCAGACTTCAGTTCCGAGAATTCCTTTGGTCCTGCTGAGTCCCAACATATTTAGAGACTGTCAGATGGAGAATGGCTTCAGTGAAATGTATGTGAAAAATTAACAAAGCATCATTACAATTTTGCTGACTGCATTCACAAGAGGCAAAAGAACAAATCTGTACTTTCCAAACCAAAATTGCTAGAATATTTTGTTCAGGGAGCACATCTACTTCTTCCAAAATTGGTAGATCAAGATCTTGAAAAATACAGAAGACTGCAGCAGAGCTCGTAAAAGCAGCTAAACATCAAGAACATCTAGGTTGTTTAATGGGTTGCGAAATTCTGGAAGAACTCTTTTAAACTCTAACTATCCTTCTCCAAGGAGCAGATCCTGCTTTAAAATGAACACAAGGACCAAAGCCCCAAAGGAAATAATATAGATATTGTAAGATTCAACAGCTTCAAGTAGTATATGATGACTAAAAACCCAGCCACAAAGAATAAAAAAAGAATTAAATATGCAGCTGAATTTTATAAGCAGACTAAAGCACCTTCAAATATTTCAGTGTGATTTGGTTGATTCTTTAGCTGAAAACCAGCTTCTGCAAGTGGCCATGGGTGATGTCTAAAATCAGAATCCTCCATTTATTTTTCCCTCTTAATTCCCCAGAAAACTCAACAAATGAGGGAAAGGCTAAAATATTTGGACTTAAGAGACTTTAGGCCGCTATAGGGCTACAAAGTGGGTACCAGGCTGGCATGTCATGGATGGCCTCCAAGCCCTTCTTTTGCTCTGCGTAACTTACAACCCATTCACTAAAGAAAGGAATATATTTTCCAAATGGACAGAAGATTGTCTGGTGTAATCAAATGTAATAGATTACAGCTCCCATCATCTTGAACCAAAGTGATGGGTTGGTAGCACAACACATCTGGAGGACATCAGCTAAGGAAAGCTCTTCTGAAAGTTTCTAAGTGGGAATGCTGGAAAAGGTAAAACCATCCAAATGAGCCTTCACTGCGTGCACGAACATTTCACCCACATGTATTGGGCTAAGCATCCAGGGGGCTGAATCTTCCTTTAGAATACAGCACCAAACTGGTTATATGAGCAAAGGGCACAAGGTGTGGCTCATAAAGATCATGGTACCTGTAAATCTCCACGCCCAAACATCTTCCAAGCAGGGATCCATGGATTCATCCTTAATATTCATTTCCCATCCAGCACGCATAGTTCTCCCTCAGCGCATGTCACTCCTGAACTTGGATACATTCCTCTCCTGTCACATTCATTAAAAAAATAAATCCTATGGTTTCAATATTATTATTTTTTTGGTCCATGAAGCGGGAAGATGGGAAGTCATTTCTTTGTCTGTCGTTTAGCCCAACCTCTTAAGGAAGTGGAGGTAGTTTGAGATCCAACAGGCTGTAGGCAAAAATGTTCCAGAAGATGGCAAAGAGAACAAATACCACATACATGGAAACGAAGATCCACCACACTGATTGATCTTGGAGTCTCTGCTCGTAGTTCCTTAGAATAACCACGCCAAGGGTGATTCCAACACCCACCCCACCTAGGTGGGCAACAAAACTGGGATGAGGACACGGAGGATAAGCAGATGGGTAGAATCTCAGCCACACAGCTCTTCCAAATTCAAAGCTCACTGAAAGAGAGATGAAGCAGTAAGTCACACGTGCCCACAATTCATCAGAAATTGCGCTTCGTTGCCCATTCACTGTCCCATATAATTCCATGCTATTATGCTGTGATGCAGCATTTTTCCCTTACCCTTTTTTAGCAGCATTTTCAACTAACACAGCAGCTTATTTGGCAAGAATTTCTGGCCATGTAGACAGACAGCTCCTCTACCATTCTGGGTCCCTTTTAAGCCAGACTGTCCAGATTTCACAAACGTGCAACATGCACCTTGTATGCAGTTTTAAAATATATGTATATTTAAAATGTACAACAGGAAAAGAAATAAAAACCCAATGACTTGAAAAGAAGTCCGTGATAACTTTATCTTTTTCAATAAAATATGCTTTTCGGAACAAGTCTTTTTCCCATTGCTAACGGGCAAAAAACGCCTTCTCTATGAACCTTCCTTTCATTCCTCCATTCCTTTTTTTCCCTCGAAAAAGCCAACAGCCTCTTTCTCTTTTTGCAACTGGCCCTATTATCATAACGGGATGGAAATTCGTATTAGGGTTCAGCTATAATCTCCGTTGCCAAAAATTAGTGGGACACAGGTGGCAATTCAGATTACGCAGATAGATTAGGAAAGACGGGGCAGCCTCGCCAGAACATTACAGAGATTCTCTTCTTTTCCACTTGAGCCAACTACTGTTTAGACCACGGGTGTCAAACTCGCTGCATCACATGACATGTTGCGACATATCGCAACTTTTTTTTTTGCATTGCCGGAGCTGGGGTGGGTGTGGCCTCTGCATGATGCAACCGGCAGTTGGACACCCCTGGTTTTAGACCATCAGGAAAATGCAAGCACGTCTTAAAGTGGGAAAAACCAAGGAACAGGACTGTACCCCTCATTTTGGCTTCAAGGAGCACAAAATATGATTGCACTTAACATGACCGGATGTATTATTATAAAATCACTAACAGGCACAGATAAAACCCTGCTGAAGATGTTACCTAGTTTGGGAACGAAACATCTGGGAGCCAAGCTTGGAGGAGAAACATCTGCCTAAAGGGCACACATACGTCTGACTCAGAGCCTGCTGGAAGAACCAGATCTTAAGTTCCTTCCTGAAGGCCAGCAAGGTCAGGGAAGAAGACTTCTGCTTTCTGAACCCTTCACAGATGGCCACCATTAGCTTAGCTAATCGGGAATTCCAACTTACTCTTAGATTTCCAAGAAGCCATAGTTCAGTGATGGTGAACCTTTTAGAGACCGAGTGCCCAAACCACAACCCAAAACCCTCTTATTTATCACAAAGTGCCAGGGCCACATCAGCATTGTGGTGCCCTCAGGGGGGGCATGGGGTGTGGCCCACTGGGTGGACATGGCCCACTGGGTGGACATGGCTGCGGCTGTCACGGCAGACTGGGTGGGCGTGGCTGCGATGAGCATGGCCACCTCAATGTTGATCATGCAGGGGATGCCTGTGGGGGCCGGGCAGGGTTGGGGGAGATCCCGGGGGTCTCTGGCGGGTGGGGCGGTGGGCGGGAGGCCCAGCATAGATGGCGGGGAGGCACGCAATCCTAGCTGGGACTGGGGGGCCATGGCGCCAATGGGGATCTGGTTTCCCTGCTCGGGGTGGCCTTTGGCTTGCTGGGTGTGGATGTGCTCTACCACCTCTACTCGAGTTTGCTAGCTGGCTGCTTCACCTCCTTTGTGCTGGGTGGGGCTGCTGCTCCAGGTGGCGGTGGCAGCCTAATGGATCTGCGCAAGCTGCTGGCAGTAGCGGCGGCGCACGTGCCCACAGAGAGGGCTCTGAGTGCCATAGGTTCACCACCACTGCCATAGTTTATTCCAGTTTCTTTCTCTGTTTTTTCCCAAAGTGGCAAAAAAAAATTGCCCAATACACTAATCAAAGAAAGATAAATCTACTCATTGTTCATTAGCACTATCCAAATTAATTGTTGTGCATTCCAGTTTGGTCCCGTAAGTATGTGTGATTCACACATCCTCTGCAGGTTTAGAAGGCGAAGTGAGCAGTTCTGTTATGGGACGGTCCCAAGATTGGTTTTTCTAATTTGCCACTGTTATCTCTGGGCTACTAATCTGAAAAACCAATGACTTCAAGAATATCTTTAGACATAGCAGGTGCACTAATGAGAGCCGCTTCATGAGGATACTTACTGCAGATCAAGGCAACGGCCATGCGCAGCAGCTTGAATTGACACTTCATTCCAGACCAGTTCTGAGAAAGAAAGAAAGAAAAGAATCTCCAAGTGAGTTTTTCCGTCTGCTGAGTATCTGGAGACAGCCCTGATTCTCTGGGGCTTAATCTGGGTCCCTTCTCCTTTGCACACTCACTGCGGCTTTGGTAATCAGCCCCGGAGAAATACATTTAAAAAGACTTGCCTTCTGAAACCTGCCAATTCTTTCTTTCCTAAATCAGCCAGAATATTGACCGGAAGAGGAGAGTGGTAGGTTTTTTTTAAAAAAAACAAAACTAACAAACAAACATCAAGATGTGAATTCTGGCTTTATATCCTTTCATTGCTCAAGACTGTCTAAGTCCATCATTTTTTTAAAAAGTTGCTCTCCATGTAGTGGAACCTTATGCTGTTTCCCTTAATGAGTTCTTACAGAACATGAACAGGTTTGGTAGGGAGGATTTCTGGTAATTAACTGATCTATGCAATAATACATTACAACGTAACCTCCAATATTTTACAGAATAACATCTTGGAGTCCTCTAGTCCAACCCCCTGCTCAGGGGGAAACACTATACCCTTTCAGACCAACCTCTTCTTAAAAACCTCCAGTGTTGGAGCACCCACAACTTCTGGAGGCAGGTTGTTCCACTGGTTAATTGTTCTAACTGTCAGGAAGTTTCTCCTTAGTTCTAGGTTGCTTCTCTCCTTGATTAGTTTCCATCCATTGCTTCTTGTCCTGCCTTCAGGCGCTTTGGAGAATAGCTTGACTCCCTCTTCTTTGTGGCAGCCCCATAGATATTGGAAGACTGCTATCATGTCCCCCCTCGTCCTTCTCTTCGTTAGACTAGACATTCCCAATTCCTGCAACCATTCTTCGTATGTTTTAGCTTCCAGTCCCTAATTAACTTTGTTGCTCTTTTCTACATTTGGGAATAAAGGTATTCTTGTGTGCAGCACCCTATTCTCATAGCGCAGGCACTGGCCTGTCTGCTCACCATTCATAGTTTTGATTATTCCTCTCCAGCTGCAAGATGCTCCATTCGCTTATCTGGCTATACCTCATCTCTTGAATGGATTCAGAGAAGGCTTTTGTTTTGCAGTTAATATATATATATATATATACTACATTACAGAACAGAGTTTTATAAAATACTACAACTCCATGAAAGTTTCCTACAAACTATCTTTACTAGGAGCAACTACCAGCACCCAAACTCCAGGGGGCTTTTGATGTTGCCACATTTTTTTTTTTATTAAGCAAGAAGGTACATAACTACGTTTCCGGGGAAAAGAGAAAAGGTTGAAAATAATCTGATATAATGAAGAAATCCTAAAGGAATCTAAATCAGTCTGTGAAATGGTATATACATTGCATTAAAATTGCCTGAACGTTTCTACAGTATATGTCCATGTAAATCCCTATGGAATAAGAAGTGGAGATTTTAGAAACCGGAGGAAGGAGGTAGTTCAAAGTCAATACTTGGCAACCTTAGCACATCACGTCAGCTTCTACGTCTTCAGCTATCAAAGAAGATGGTGAAGTGATTTAAAGGACCAGGAAAGTTGGGGTTGCTACTGACTGGGAAATGAAGTCTGCCCCTACAGTGATTACAACTCTGCTCTCTCCTGAACATTGGATAGGCTGGCCAGGAAGGATAGGAGTTATTGCTCAATAAATGTTGGGTTCTCAGGCCAGAACACCCTGCTCCTCATATCTCTTTTTTAAAGAATCCTCTCGGTCAATTGCATCATATATCAGACAGCAAGAGAGATACCAGTCCTACTTTTCAGATCTTATCCAATCAACACCAACGCTCAAGAGGCTATTTGGAGCACTGCCATTACATTGGTTAAAAGAGGAGATTCGTTCTTCCCAAGCTTTTCCAAATTCTGAAATGTAGTCAGCAAAGCAGCACTGCTGTGAAGGATGTTTTTAAAATTCTGTGATCATTCTAAGAAATTTGTGGGCTTGAAGAGCAATAGCAATAGCATTTAGACCTATGTACTGTCCCATTGCACGTTACAGCACTCTCTGGGTGGTTTACAATGAGGTATTATTTGCATATTGCCCCCAATAATCTGGGTCCTCATTATTTTTATAATACCTCAGATAGATGGAAGGCTGAGTCAACCTTGAGCCCTATCAGGATCAAACTCTAGACTGTGGGCAGAGTTTGACTGCAATACTGCAGTTTAACCACTGCGCCACCAGGGTTCCTGGTGAAGTTAGTCACTTATGCAGATATTGAAAAGTGTTACATGTGGTGTTCTTGCCACAAGCAGTCTTGTTTGAAAGTTTAAACTTGCAGCAGTGTTTCTCAACCTTGGGAAGCTTCAACTCCCTGAATTCCTCAGCCAGGTTGGGGGATTAGAACTCGGGTTTGCTTACTCAACCACTAGACCAGGGCTTTACAACCTTTTCACCCATTGTACCACTTTTAGGATATGGCAGTATCCAAGTACCACCGCCTAGCAAGGTGTCAAAAACTTGATGACCCCCCCAAAAAAGGAAAAAAGTGATAAAGTACAGGTAGTCCTCGACTTACAACAGTTCACTTAGTTATTGTTCGAAGTTACAATGGCACCGAAAAAAGTGCCCCCCAAGTGACAGCCGAGCAAGACACCTGCCTACCCGCCCGGCCGCGCTCTTCCTCCTGTCCGAGGTTTTCATTGTTGTGAGCATTTCTGTTGGGGATTGGCAGTGGGGGTGGGGTGGGGGGGTGTTTGGTTTTTATTCCCCCCGTCTGCTGGGTGGTTGCAGCAGGTTTTGGTCACTTCACATGACCCTGGGACATGGTTACCGTCGTAAATATGAGTCGGTTGACAAGTATCTGAATGTAAATCACAAGACCCTGGAGATGCTGCAACATTCCAGCTGATCGGCGCTTCTTCTGGGCTCAGCAGAAGTGCCAGGATCAGTGTTGCTTTCCAGCTGATCGGCGCTTCTTCAGGGCTCAGCAGAAGCACCAAGATCAGCGCCGAGCTCCAGCTGGAACCTGGCGCTGATCCTGGCGCTTCCACTGAGCCCTCACAGCCCTGCAGCTCCAGCCATCTCTCGCTCAGGCTTGTGCGGTGCTGCCACTGGTTCAGCTCATTCCCCTCCCCCACTATCACTTTTCTAGGATAGTCACGTACCACCTGCCAGGTGCCAATGTACCACAGGTGGTACCCGTACCACTGGTTGAAAAGCCCTGTTTTAAAGTGCCTCTGACTGTTTGGAAGAGAAAACGGTGGCATTAAGAGCCCAGTGTTGAATGCTCCAACACCGGAAGTTTTTAAGAAGAGACTGGACAATCGTTTGTCTGAACAGGGTACAGGGTTTCCTGCCTGAGCAGGGGGTTGGACTAGAAGACCTCCAAGGTCCCTTCCAATTTTGTCATTCTGTTGTTCCGTGATGCATAAGTTGCTCCACACTATACTGATGAGAATAATAATGATATTTCTAATTCTCCCAATCTCTCTCCACTTTCAAAGTTAATGAGGATTGTAGCGAACCACAGCAGTGACCTTTTGAGCAGCAGCAAGCTGAGATTAGGACTGCAAGATCATTGCCGCTCTTATTTTAGAAAATTATAAATCCTATACTGTGTGCAGATTATTTGAGAGTGAAGACATTTCTCATTTCATTAACATGCAGCACAAAGAAACACTTCAAGAATATCTGATACGTTAAGGAGGTAAATTCTGAAGAAAAAAATTAATGATTGAACAAAAGCACAAATTTATTATTTTTGTATATAAATGCCCAAACCCAAAAGGAATTTTAAATTTTCTGTCACAAATGATCAAAATCTGCATTTCCCTGATTTGGCTCGGTTTCAATCTTTTTCTTTTTTTTAACATCCAGCAGTATCTGTGAGATGACAGGTGGAGATGTACACAACCACTTGCATGTTGGCACAAATTGTTTTGACAAAAATGATGGATTCTGCAGAGACCTCTATTGACATCTAGGCCAAAGCATCTGTCATAAATGCCTGTTTCCCCTCTAATAGTCGAAATTCTCATGTTTTCTAAACATATTATCCTGGTGATTATTTCTTTTCCTTTTACTTTTTTGGACAGCCATGAATTAGGCCCTTTTTAGATGGGGAATTTGGAAGTAAATGAGTTAATCACTGCAATAAGTGGCTTTGATAAAGTGTCACATTTGTTCTAAACCAGCTGAGGCTCAGATCAACCATGCAAACACTCTTCTACACTAACAATGAACAATACAACCCTGTGTACATCCATTTAGAAGTAAGCCTTATTAGGTTCAATTGAGTAAGCTCTAAAGGATTGCAAGCTTTGAAAGCCTGTCTATATTTGTCTCACCATCTCGTAATGTATAGAGGTGGCTCTACAAGAAACATCATCAGGCTAATAAACTGGTTTGACTTAAACTAACTGACTGAGATTGTTCATTGTCTAAGCCATAATTTGATGAACGCGCCACTATTTGTTAAATTCCCTGGACTCATCCAAAACTATAAACTATGGCTTAGAAACTGGAGTTATTGCATTCATAGAACTAACCAAACCTATCCAAACAAACTACATTAAATTATGATTTAGCACACCATGTGGACTTAATCAACATACTGTATGAACTCAACCATTATGGCTTGTAACTATGGTTTGGGCTAAGCATTGAATGAACCCAATAATGTGTAACCCTAACAACTGTAGCTTATACCACTATATGATCTTAACCATATTAAAATGTTGAAGGTACATCTAGAGAAACCATCATGATGCAAGTTAGTAACCTCAATAAATTCAAAGATTATGAGCTTAGACTTGAAACAGCCATTTTTTGTTAATTAAAACCAATACTTTTACTTGTTTGGCCTTGATTATTTATTATTATTTGTTACAGTTGTTTGCTGCCCATCTTGCCACAATATTAGACAATGCCAAGGAAGCCTGATCTAAAGACAAGTCTATGGCTTGCCAATCATGTTAATGGATCTGGAGAGGTTACCAATTTTTTTTTAAAGCAACATGTAAGTATCTACATACATAGGTAGGTATCAAATATGAAAACTGCCATAAC